TCTCTCTCTCTCTCTCTCTCTCTCTCTCTCTCTCTCTCTCTCTCTCTCTCTCTCTCTCTCTCTCTCTCTCTCTCTCTCTGTGCAATCGGACTCACTTTCTTCTCCACTTGGCATACATGCAAACAGACAGCGATTCGCACTGGCGCAGCGCGCCCACTCAAAGCTCAGAGATATGGAAAACGAGAACACAGTTCAGATGCAAAATCGCTTCACCAAACTATGGCGCTTCGGCGCCTGCACACCCTATTCTCGTCACTGTGTCCAACACCACCGTTCGCACATACTCAACTCTGGATCACCCTGATTACTCCACACACACACACTAAAGCCTATCTTCCTCCTACAGCGGCTATGGCCGCTCTACTACTACTGCCTATGGCTACGCTCTCTCTCTTCAGCCCACTTCGACTTCGGGCGACCTGCAGACCACCTCGCAAAAGACGCTGTAGCAGCGCTTCTGCATGGCTTACACAGCGAATGAATGAATTGCTGGGCGCTGCTTCTTGATTTATACTTCTGTTTGCCGCTGGTCTGCCCCTTTCCACCAGGCCCTGGGTGTGCACAGTCCCACATGGTACTTGCTTGACCGGACTGAGGGTGACTGGGACTGGTACCACTGACTGCATGAGGTTGCACTGCCGACTCAACGCAGTTGGACCTGCGACTCACCTACAGACCTCTAGCCTAGCAGTTTCGACCTCTACACAGCTATGAACCCTACTCGACAGACCTACAGATCGAACCCCTACATCTACACAGACCTGCGACAGACAAACAACCAACTACCGAAACACAGGTCACGGGTTCAAACACTCGGGGGTCAACTCGATACTGTACATGGGTAAGGCGAGGTCTGGGGATCGAACTTTAGGGCCCGCATCTATGGCTGCAAAAAGGTGAAAACCGTTTCATCTCTCTCTCTCTCTCTCTCTCTCTCTCTCACACACACACACACACCTTCAGAGACACGGCCGTGCACTCTCTCTCTCTCTCTCTCTCTCTCTCTCTCTCTCTCTCTCTCTCTCTCACACACACACACACACACACACACACACACACACACCTTCAGAGACACGGCCGTGCACACTTCTGAATAATTCGAAACGTGGAACACTGATGATATATGCACTGTCGTATGCAGTACCCATGAGCCTTATACATCTACTTCCTCTAATTTGCTTTTCCTTGCTGTCAAAGGCATGTAGTGGTAGGAGACTCCAAGACATCCTGTGCTTGGCAGTTGGCTGAACGATATGCACATGTAACTCCCGTTGAAACAGTTGACAACTTGACACAATGGAACAGATCACGAG